TAGGTTGGATATTAGGAAGAGATTTTTTATGGAGAGAGTGATCAGGCATTGGAATGTTCTGCCCAGGGAGGTGGTGGATTCACCATCCCTGGAGGTTTTCAAGATGAGACTGGATGTGGCACTTAGTACCATGGTCTAGTAACCACGGTAGGGTTGGACTGCATGGTCCTTGAGGTCTCTTCCAACCTGGTTGATTCTATGATTTGCTGTGAAAAAATTACTGCATGGCTTAAAGCATGGTGTCTTAAACTTGAAGTTAAAAATTGCTTATAAATTGTATTTCATATATTTACTTTTTTGTGATTTTGAATAATGTAAAAGCTTTGCAACTGTATTAATCTTGGGTCACATTTGGTTTGCCAAATTGTTTGTAACCCTTGACAGTAAAGACAGTTTAACTGATGCACAATGGTACATTTTAAAAGGAGAGGACTGGAGGGAACAGTCATAAACTGAGACAGGGGAGCTTCAGATTAGATGGTAGGAAAAATGTTTCCCCTTAGAGTTGTCAGGCACTGGAATAGATTGCCCAGGGAGGTGGTGGAGTCACCATCCCTGGAAGTGTTTCAGGTGCTGGAGGTTATGGTTTAGGCATTACAGCAGAGTGGCAGGTTAATGGTTGGACTTGATGATCTTAGAGGTCTCCTCCAACCTTGATGATTCTATGATTTAATGCATTTCTAGCTACTGAGCCAAAGCACTCACACCCAAATTACTAAAAAAGCTACAGGGGATGTTTTCCACTTGTTCATACAGCCACAATTGAAGTGAGAACATTAAATAAGAAAGAATTTATTACTTGGTTCATGTAATATGTGTTGTGTGTTCTTTTAGTATACCATGGTGAAGGACATGCTCTCTCCAAGTCCCACTGAAAGACCAGAGGCTGCAGCAATCATAGAAAATCCTGTCTTTGAAGACTTGGAGCTCCCACCCAAACCAGTGCTTAGGCAGAGGTCACGGACAATGAGTCTATCAGGAAATAAACATTCCAGACAACCAAGCAAATAACTATCCTCAGGATCACTTCTTCCACTCGGCAGGTTTTACAGGGATTGTTCAGCAGAAGGATCCTATGATGCAGAATGTTTATCTTGGAAAGTTTACTCATGCTTTTTTTGCCATGTTTAATGTACAAGATGTGTTGGACAGATTTTCGTTTACTTTGACAGCCAACAAAATCCAGTAACCACACTTCTCACATTCCATTTTCCTTACCTTAACTCTCCTGGGCAGATGGGTCCTGCTACTGTGCTTACCAATGTTGTGCTCCATTATTGGGTTTTTGGGTTTCTTTGGTTTTTCTGAAGCTTGTAAATGTCACCTTGCTGGGTAAGTGAGAGATCTGTAACATGTAAATAGAATTAAAATACTGTATTTTTATAGAGCAAATTACAGTCTCTAAGCCTAGTGAGTATCTATCTGGATCACTTGCTCTTTGGTGAAATGAAGATGATTTTGAAATGAACTATGACTCCATTTTTGTGCCCGGTGGGTAAACTGGGAATCTGCACTATTTTTAAAGCAAAAAAGTACCACAGTTGTACATACTGTCACTGTCCATAGCCAGTCATTAGAGAAAATCATTTCATACTTCTGCACTACAGTAGATCTTAGGGAATGCATTTTATACAGATGAAGCTGTAGAGAAGGAAAAGGAGCTTTTTGCCATTAAATGGGAGGTTTTATAGGCAGTTGGTTGGAAGAGCCATAGTCAAAACTATGTACAAAAATGTTGTGATTCTAAAAATTGAAACCTAATGAAGTCATACATGTCATATGTAATCTTGTAGATTTGTACTTTTTAAAAAGAAACTGGTAGGCATTTGTGTAATCTGCTAATTTAACTGCCTAATGCCATGCTTTTATTTCTCACTGTAAATATGTTAATTTTTATTTATAAAATACAGAATCAATCCATTTGGGTTGGTGGTGTACAGGATGCACTTGCTGTAATTGTTGAGTGCATTAATTATTGTGACTTCTTTCAAGTCTAAATGATTTAATAAACTTTTTTTATTTATAAGACAAAATAGTAGTTGCTTCTTGTTGGAAGCCTGCATCCGTGTGTGCTGCAGATGGCAGCCCTGTGCAGTGGGAACAGGATAGGCTCTGCATTCCTCTAACTTCCTCTGCTTTCCTGTCTCACACTGGCCACAGTGCGTGTGATGACGCAAAACTGAATATGCTGCTTGGAAGCAAGATACAATCTGGAGAAAGACAGGAGTTGAGCTCTAAACTGGGTGGATTATGGAGCCAATCTCTCACCTATTAACAGAGAGGGAAAGAAGAAGGAATAATTCTTATGCTGTTAGAACTGTTCTTGTATGAATGTATTTTCCTGTTGTACAGATTTAAATTTGTTCAAGTTGTAGTCTCTGAAATCGGTTTCCTAAAAAGATGTTGGATTCAAATCCTTCTGGGGATCACTGTACTGTGGTGTGACACTGTGACCAGCAATTGAAGCAGCTGACACTCTGCAGCTTAATGATAAGGCAAAACTGGATTATAAAGATTGTCTTCCTTGTGCTCTTGGATAACTCTCCTAGATAGTGACTTGTCCAGGTGAAGCCAGAATGGCTGCAGTGGTCAGAAACAGAACTTTACTGACTTTAGCTGGGTTAAAGCAGAAGATAGTTAAGTGTGTCCTCTTCCCTTGGATGTCCCTGTTTGTATCAGCTACAACTGCACAGTGAAATGGTCATGTTGGAAACCTCTCTGGCTTCCAGCTCAGTGATTACAGATGGAGCACACTTGCTGTGTATCTGGATGTTGGTAGCTGCCTGCATTTTAGTACCAAAACCAGCATATGTTGTTCACACTAGGTCTGCCTGCATATTCTGGGATGTTACACTTGCCCTCAAAGGCTTGTACAAATCCTCCCCTGTGTGCATCAGACCACTCTCAGCTCTTGACCACCCTCAGCTCTTAACCACCTGGGCCAGTCTTTGTTTCTCTAAGCACTGGATACTGGAGTGTGTTGTCCCTGGTTCTGCACCTTTTTGCCCCAGGGTTTGTCTGAGGAAGCCTTTTCCCTAACCAGATAGGTTTGCCTCAGTATGGTGTGTACCTTCCTGCCAACTGTTTGTGTGGAAGGACACCCAAACTAGGATAGCTGTGAGTTACAGCCCTGCAAAAGGGGCTTTGGTCTAGGGTTGTGCTGTGCTGTGCAGCACCACGGTCCTATCCTGTTCTTGCAGGGGATGTTGCTTATCCCTCAGCTCCCCTCCCTTCTATAGCTCTTGGGGCTGGAACACCATTTCTTGTCCTGTTTTATCAAAATGAACTGGGTGGCAGCAGCAAGAATCCTGCCTTGTCCACCTTTGCGCCCACTGGGTCTAGCTGCTTCCCCCAGAATAGGGGCAGGATCATGTTGTTACTCTACTTACCACTTCCATGTTGTCACTGAAGTTGTAGGATCTGGGAGACCTAACCTCCTCCATGAAGAGTTGTTTGGCAGGAAAACCAGTGTTGCAACCCCAGGTCAGAGCTGTTTTTTCTACCAAGCTCTTGAGAGAGAACTGACCTATATACTGGTGTCTTCAGTAGCTGAGCTGCTCCAGGCAGGACCTACTTGCATTTTGCTACACTCTGAGGTGAGTTCTCTGCTACCTTTGAGGTAGAAGAGCAGGACTCAGGACTTTTACTATCCTCCCCTTTTATTTATTAACAAAGTGACTTTCTTCACCCCTCAGTGCCTCAGTCCAGTAGTTTTAGTATTAAATGTTAGCCTGGACATCTTTCTGCTGTGCTTGCTCTGCTTCCCAGGCTGCAGAAGCCTTGCCAGTCCCAAACAGGTGATTGAGCACTCAGAAGAAGCTATTTCAGACAACATCCTTGAAGTGTTTCATGTTCATGGGAGATCAGTCTAAGAGCAGACTCTGAGTGCAGTGACTCTCTCATGTAAACCAGTGTGAGACCCCACCAGAACACACTGGGGAAGTGATGGCCATTGCCTCAGCAGTCACCAGCCCTCGTGTCATCATGCTACAGAAAAGCTCTGGGCCTGGGGGTCAGCTCCTGCTTTTACTCACTGCTAGCATGCAGAGATGTTTGGGAACAGTCCTGCCTCTTCAGAGTAATCCTTCAGTGAGGCACTCCATGGCCCTCCTGTAGGGAGCCAGTGCTGTTGGAAGTCCAGACAAGCACTTGGGAGTAGTAAAAATAATCATTCCCATTTATCCTGATTTTTTTATAGCTGTGTGGCCCAGCAACACTCAATAGCTACATTCATAGCATCAAGGCATAGACATCACAGTGCAAAACACATGAGTAATAATTCCTCTTCACATCTCCTCTATCCCCCCTTTGGGTGATGCTGGCTACTTGTAGCCCCCTTTGAATCCCCTGTGCACTCCGTGCTCTTGGTGCTACAACAAGTCTTGTTCATCTCCTGGGCTCTGTCACAAAGATGTTCCCTTCCACAATTAACAAGGAAATTCACAGGTAAGTCACAAAAAGCCATGGAAAGCTATGAACCTCTGGATAATTTCAAAATACGTGAGCTGAGCCCTGAGCACCAGCCCAGGCTGCAGTGTAGTGCCTCTGTCAGAAGTGAGCTCTGCTCTTTAGCCACATCCCTCCTGATTCCCATACACAGACTAACATGTGGAGTTATTAAAACTGACCAAATCTGTACTGTAAACTGCAAGATGAGAGCTACAGTGGCTTGATAAGAAATACTGTCCCGCCAGGATCACCAGGATGCACACAAAGATAAGTTCACAGTATCATACTGATGTTTTTCCCCACCATGAAGGTTGAAGTTGTCTAAGGAAATGCTTACTTAAAAATAATTATAAAGAAGGAATTAGCTCTGATAGTGTAACAAATTGCCCCAAAAATATCAAAGTTCCTCATTCTTAACACCAGAAGGTAAAGAATTGCATCTTTGTCCTATGCCCCCAGCACCTCCTTCCCTTATTTTCCTACCCATTATTTTTCCATTAGGATGTGTTCTGGCATTTTCTGTACCACCTCCAGTGACTGATTCTAAATCCCTATGACTTGGGTTTGCCCTTCAGGGTACCATTGGGCACTGGCACTGCTATGCTATATTCCAGGTCTGGAGCAGTCTTGGAAAACGTGGCTATGGAAACCATATCTTCTCCAATGTCCACCTGAGACCTGTGTCTGCAAATAAGCAGCTTCTTCAGGGCCCGTTGGAAGTCTCTGTTCAGGAAAGCATAGAGCATTGGGTTGATGGTGGAGTTGCAGTACCCTAACCAAGTGATAATCTTGAAGGTGTCAACCAAGACTGTGCTGGTGGAGTCGGTGCCTCTGGCTGCGAGCCAAACATTCAGGACAAAGTAGGGCAGCCAGCACAGCACGAAGACTGAAATGATGATGCTGATGGTCCGTGTGGCCTTGTTCTCCAGCTGCAGGTGGTTCTGCCGCTTGCTGTTGGGGTGGTAGTGAATCTCCAAGGTCTGGGACATGATCCGAGTGGCCTTGAGCCGTGAAGCTCGGTAGATGAAGAAATACATGCTGCACATGACCATGAAGGGAACGAAAAATGCCAGAGCAGAAGCCACGATGGCAAAAATCCAGTTGGTGACGAAGATGCATTCTCTGCCTGCATCAAAGTCCACCCCGGGGATCTCATTCCAGCCTTGCATGACGGGAAGGAAGGAAATGAGGGAGGAATATACCCAGACCATGCAGGTCATCACGATGCATCTGTGAAAGAGATGGGGAGGGGAGAGAGGGTCTGAGTAATTTTAGTTGAGAACACCCAGTACGATTCAATCCCCATGGTAACCTGTGTGGGATATCACTGCTCAGCAGTCCAGCAGGGCTCGGAGAAGGCAAAAAGCTGGGGTACAACAAGTCCAGACGTGAATATCTCTAACAACTGCGTAATTGGTCTCTGCTTTACAGAATTGGGGTCAGCAGCATAAAGGATGCTCAGTGCTGTTGAAAAAAAAAGAGGAGGAAAAGCTTTACAGAGGATGTTTGTCAGTATTTAAAACAGCATGTAGATTTTCCTGGTTTCAGCTTTAGTATCTGGCATTCTCTCACCCCCTGAGGGGCAATGGGGGTGAAGCTGATGGACACTAGATCACAGAATCTGTGCATGGAGGGTCACACAGCCCCCTCCTCACTTTGGCAACTGCCCATGCTCCACAAATCACACACAGCAACAGTTACAATGGGAAAAGTACCCCCAGAAGAGCCTTAACCCACCCTGTAAAGCACCCCACTGCTGCAGTGTCCTCTCTGCCCATCCTCAGGTGACTTTCCCCACCCCACAGTCCTCATTTCAACCTTTCACATAAAACCTTGCAGAAGCTTAGA